GAAGAAAAAGGAAAAACAACTTTAGAAAGAAATGAACCCCTTTTATACGCTTCCATCAGATGATCTAGGTTTCGAACCTTGTCTATCTCACTGTACACCCTGTCTCACTTTGCCGCAGCGGGGTGAGAATGAACCCCCGAACCGTTTGTTCAACATGAGCTTCCGTACTTATGGCTTTTGGATTCAGTCACAAGACAGCTTATGTAGCCAAGAGATAATTTAAAAAAAAAGAACGAAAAGGTAGGGTAGCGTGGCTACTAATTTTACAAGCTTAAGTAAGACATGTCGATCATCTTCATCATCATGACATCATGACTGCGTTTTTTTTCTTGTCATGTTGGGAATTGCACGTTCACATTGAAGTCAATCGTTTGAGCTGCTTTTTCTGGAACAGTGATCTATGGAATATGCAGGAACGTCTTTGTATGATCTATGTGTGATGGGAATAATTTTGGATACATAGATTAGTGACTGATGGGAAGGTAGGGCGCGAATGGTTCTTTGGGTTATTTTGTTTGTTTGAAAGAATTAAAATTATGTGAGAACAGATGTTGGAGTCAAAAGGGCACGGATATATAATGAGAAAGAAAAAAAAAAAAACAAGAAGGAGGACCGTCAATCGATCAAAGCAGCTGTAGTTCTCTCTCTACAGCGTTTCAAGAACTTTGCAAGGTCGGTCCCACCGGTGCCTAGATGGGCCCTTGCAGGCTGACGGGTCTTCTCAGCCTCTAGCCGTTGTTTCTCGAGCCAGGCATCCATGAATGCGCTTCCCTCGGGTGGAGGATGGCGGCTCTGGGAGACGATATAAAGGAGGACTACCTTGCTGTGGGTGGAGCGGAGCCGGCCGAGCGCGGCGACACAGTCGTTGTAACTGGAGCGTAGGTCCGACGTGGCGGGGGAGGCGAGGGCGAGGGAACGAACGGAGTGGGTGGCCACGTCGGGCAGGCTAGGGAAGGTAGTGATCTTGGAGGAGTGTTCATTAAGGCTCGCAGCCAATTCGGAGAGAAACCGGCGATGGTGCGAGGGCATGTAGACGGCCATCCGGGCCATAAATGTTTCTTCGCCGCTCGGAACGCCCTGCAGCTTCATCGGGTTTGAGGATGTCTGGCTGCCGCTGGGATGCGGCCTGTGGTCGACACCGAGGAAGATGTCGAGAGCATGGATGAGCGTACTCTGTCCGGCACTTG